TCCGAGGAGTGGCTGGTGGGTTTGAACTGCCAGCCTTCTGGTTAGCAGTCAAGTGCATTAGGCACTATGCTACCAGAGCTCCATAAAGATTTACCACCTGCAACCACGATGGGAGTTGCTAGGAGTTAGAATCCACTGCATGGCAGTGATTTTTTTTTTTTTTTGGATGGTTAATATTATTTACTACAGACAATGTTGCAGCCTATAAAAGGACTAGACAACGTTTGCTAATTTTCCCACTAGAAACGCCATCCTCATTCCCAAGGATAATCCAGATGATCCATTTTGAAGACAAAAGGCCAGCCATCCATTTTATTTTAATGAACATGTGTACTTTTGTGTTTGTATGAAAATATATCTTCAAGTTTATATGTAATGTTTCCAGTCTCCAAATATTGACTTTATAAAGATATTGATAATAAAAGGCGTAATAATGAAAACTAACTAAATAACTTAGAAGGGGTGAGAATGGAACCCCTTGTTCAATTGGTGACTAACTGTGTAACAGGGAGTATTAGCACTGAAAATTTTATGTCCTTTTATGATCTGGAAGCAGGTTATCTTGCTTTTGTGTGCATTTGTGGCAACAGAATGAGCTGGTTGACAGAAAATGGGCTAAGTCATTGGAAGGGAGGGGCTTCACTTTAAATCATGCTTGGGACACATAAAAAAAGAAAAAGTCCTGGGGACAAATCCACATCAGGCTATATTTTAGATTTTCCAGTGGCCACCTGCTATTTCCCCTGAACTCACCTTTCTCGCAATCACAGTTTGGTCTTTTTATGTCTAAATGTGTTTAAGAGCTCTGGTAGCACAGTGCCTAAGGTACTAGACTGCTAACCAGAACACTGGCGGTTCAAACCCACCAGCCACTCCTCAGAAGGAAGGTTGGGCAATCTACTTCACTAGTGATACTGCCTGGGAAACCCGCGTCCCAACGGCACATAACAACAACAACTTGTTTAGTAAGACGCAGAATGTCCCGAAGTTGGTTCCTAACAAAGTTCCCCCAAAAAACCATCAAGCCCACTGCCATCGAGTGAATTCCGACTCATAGTAAGTCCCACTGGGTTTCCAAGGCGGTAAATCTTTACGCAAGTGGATTGTCCCATCTGCCTTCTACGGAGTGGCTGGTGGGTTTGAACCACTAACCTTCTGATTAGCAGTCAAATGCCTTAGGCACTGAGCTACCAAAGCTTCTTAAACAAAGTTCTCCAGGACTCTCCAATCTTTGACAACAATCACCTGGACCGCCCTGTTCGCTTTCCCCGTCGCCATCCATGTTCTGTAAGACCTCTTCTCTGCTAGAATGGGGCAAGTTCCACTTCAATTCTCTTGCTATCTAAAAAACTCTCAACTCTGAGCAGTCCTCATCACTCCATCAGAGTCTGCGCAACCTGTAAGTCCGCGCCAAGAGAGCCTCAAGTGACCTTACTTTGGCAAAATCAACCAAGACAACCAAATACAAGCCTCAAGTAATTTACAGCTCAGAGCCTCACACCCAACCTGGCGCCGCTTGAGGGGAACCCAGCATCAACCGGTCCACGCCTCTCTCTGACGTCACACAAGGCGCCCGGAAGTGGCCTTAGGGTTTGTACGACAGCTGGCTGCGTCGAGTTGGCCGTTGCTTTACAGTTGCTGGGATGCGGCGAGACGGGGAACCGCTGGGGCCAAGATCATGCTTGACGGAGAGCAGTTTCGTGGGCAGCAGAGGCCGCTAGGAATGGGATGAAAGAAGCGGGGCAGATGCAAAATCTGGAGAGCGCGGGGGCGGTGCAGTCAGTCAGCACCCAGACTGGAAGTATGACGGGTGAGTGCCGGGGACCCCAGCCTTTCGCTCTGCCTTGTGCGTCTCCCGCCGTTTAACTTCGGGTTCCCTGTCTGCCCATTCTCGCCTGCTCTACTGCTCCTGGCTGTCTCATCCCCGCCCTGGGCGCATCCTCGTCTCTGCCCCGGGACCCCTCGGTCCAGCCACGTAGGTGTATGCGGTTTCGGGCTTGTTGTTCCCTTTATTTTTCCTCCCCGAACCCAAAGCTGGGATCTGGGAGAATTGACGAGCCTGAAGGAATCCCCCAACCTGCGCTGTTTCCTAGATTTCCAAATTAAACGCATGCGGCACTTTCCTATATTTCAATTTCTTTACCCTCGAAGGTCACCGCATTTTTACTGCAGTATTCTAGTCACCCTTGAATACATAACTCAGCACAGCCTCTCGAAAAGCTTGCTTCAGGACGACGTTAGGTTCGAAGACTTTCCTTAACTTCCTTTAGATGGTTCCCATAGCTACGTTTATCTGTCGAAGCAATCCTTTACTGCCGGTAGAGGGCTGAAGAAAGAGCGCCCAAGTTTGAAAAGTGCCGCAGAAGGTCGCCGCAAGTGAGGTTAAAGCCGGCCTTCTAGGAAATAACAATTTTTTTTGTCTGATCCTTTTCACTTAGCGTCCCGCTAAGGCGGCAGCACCCACGTGGACTTGAGCTAAGACGTACCTGTCAAATTTTAAAATATTTACCCTCTTTTGTAGGTCAAATACCAAGGCTCTCTAAAGTCAATCTTTTCACTCTGCTCAGTCTCTGGATGGAGCTCTTCCCAGCCGTAGAAACCCAAAGGCAAAAATCTGAGGTATAATTTGTTTTCTCAGTTTTTCCCCTTAGGTATAAAATTGGTTTTATTCCATTTCTGTCACACTGAAAAAACAAACTCAACAAATCTTAAGATTTGAAAAATACCTTTAAGATTTAGTGTGATATCTGTAACTCAGAGCTGCAATAGAACAGTTACTATAGTAAGAATAATTATTTAAAAGCCAATGTACTGGAAATGTATCCTACATCCTTTCTTCCTACCACCCTTAGGGTGACAAGGTGCTGCACATCTTTTTCATCCCTTCTTGGAGTGGCATTTTGGATTGAAAGTTTAGAGTTCCATCATTAACATTTGGGAAACCAAAGGTTATATTATGGAAAATAATGTTTAATTTAAATGCTTAAGCATTTAAGATATTTTTCTTAAAAAAGGACAGATGGGGAAATAATACCCATTGCTTCTGATTATTCTGACCACTGTTAACATTTTGGTACTGATTTTTTTTTTTTTTTTTTAAGCATTTACTAAGTCAAGAGACTACCTACATTTGGAAAGACTGGGAAGAGGGAGAGCATTTGAGGTTTATGTGAGAGGCATGGGAGGAGGGAGGAGACTGAATATGAACTTGAGAAGGTGATAGACATCAGATCATAAAAAGCATTGTATGTTTTAGAAGGAGTTTAGATTTTTAGTCTGTAAGGATTGGGATGACATTATCAGGGAGTGAGAGAATTCACTTGGCCGTGATAAAATGATGCCTCTTAAAGTATTTACTCCCCCACTTTTTATGTGAAATACTTTATAAACAGTAAGATGTTATTTAAAATGTTAGGTATAGTTTTTCCTCATTTCTCAACACCCCTCTACTCCTATACTGGTTCCACATTTTTTTCATGGCATTGAAAAAGCTTTTCATTTTCTCCAGTGGAATTTAAAGTTCTTTTATTTCTAATTCTTACTAGCTTAGTATTATTTTGGGTGAGTAGATTTCCAAGCTGTGGGGGTTTTTGTTTGTTTTATTATTTTTTTGCAGATAAAATTTGTCTTGAAGAAGAGACACATTAGAAGCAAATGTTGAGATATTCACAACTTTAATAAGCTGGGCTTGTGGAAAAAATGGGCTCATTGGAGATGGAGTATTAATTTTGAATTTTTTAAGTATCCAGATTTGATTTCATTTTAATGGTTAGTTCATATAAAGGAGCTCTGGTCGTGCAGTGGTTAAGACATTTGGCTCTAACTAAAAGGTCAGTGGTTCGAACCCACCAGCCTGTATGCAGAAGAAAGAGAGGCAATCTGCTTCTGTAAAGATTTACAGCCTTAGAAACCCTATGGGGTTGCTATGAGTCAGAATCAACTTGATGGCAGTGAGTTTGGCTTTGGAATTTTATCTATAAACTGAGACTACAGTGTGTGCTTTTTTTAGACAGACAGGCACAAGATGATAAAAGTTCTGTTAGGAATGAAGTCATGGCCAACTAATTCCTGAACTTTGTTTGGACACTAGACGACATGTAGCATTGGGAAAGTCAACTGCGAAGGAACTGTTTCAAGTGCTGAGGAGCAAGGATATCTCCTTGAGGACTAAGGTGCGCCTGACACAAGCCATGATATTTCCAATCGCCTGGTATGCATGTGAGAGCTGGACAATGAATAAGGAAGACCAAAGAAGAGTTGATGTTTTTGAGTTGTGGTGCTGGCGGAGAATGCTGAAAGTACCATGGACTGCTAAAAGAACTAACAGATGTGTCCTGGAGGAAGTGCAGCCAGAATGCTCCTTGGAAGCAAGAATGGCCAGACTTCGTCTCACCTATTTTGGTCATGTTGTAAGAAGGGACCATTCCCTGGAGAAGGATGTCATGCTTGGTAGGGTGGAGGGTCGACGAAAGAGGGGGAGGCCTTCAACGAGATGGATTGATATGTTGGCTGCGATGACGGGATCAAGTATAGCAGGGATTGTGGGGCTGGTGCGGGATCGGGCAGTGTTTTCGTTCTGCTGTGCATGGGGTCGCTATGAGTCGGAAATGACTCCACGGCACTTAACAACAACAACAACAACAACTACTGTTTCTTATTTTATAGAGAAAACTACGTAGCCCGAGGAAGTAACTGAGATAAGGCTTTCAGTTAGCATTTTTATAAAAATAATGCCAAGTTGATTTCAGAGTTATAAAACTACATACTAACAAAAAATTGTACATAACTTTATAACTTGTTTAACAGAAGGTCAGGTTTATGACTCCATGTTTTCCCTGAGTGACTCTGATTTCCTGACATCATGCGCTTTCCTCTGGCAGCCACCAAGGAAGTTTTATTAAAACAAGGAAGTTTTACTAAAGCAATCAGTATTTTTTTTTTTTTAAGTTGAAATGTCTTATTTGGACTCTTATTGAGAAATCTCCTGACTCATGCCCATGTCTATCTAGGTAAGAGTTTTAAATTGAAAAGTTATGGCAGACATAGAAATGAGTACAAAAGGTAAGAAAACAAATCTATGTTTTGGCAGTGCTGGCTGACCTGGAAATAACAGTTGGTGCATGTGAGAAGGAGCTCTGCTGGAGTAGTGGTTAAGGAATTTGGCTGCTAACCCAAAGGTCAGTGGTTCAAATCCACCAGCTGCTATGTGGAAGAAAGATGGGGCAGTCTGCTTCCATAATGATTTATATAGTCTTGGAAAGCCAATGGAATCAACTTGATGGCAATGAATTTGGCACATATGAAAGGTTATCTCTCATACCCCTGTCGAGGAGTTTGCCTTACTTACTGTTCTCTGCCTTAGTGTCTTTGTAGCTGTACTTCCACACCTATGTCAGATAGGGCAGGGCTATCAGCCACAGTCTCAGGTAGGCCTGCACCTCTATTCCTTACTCTCAGGCCTTGAGACTCGGACACTTGGCCTGGGGTATGGATCCTCAGGATTACTTTAGGATTGTTCCATATTGCGTATGGATCAAATAGGCCTCTGAGGGTTAGCTTGGTAACTTGACTGTCATTTTTAACATTGTTTATATGAGAAAATATGTTTTAAATTCCAAAAATACCATATCTACCAAGTTTAGGACTTAATTATTTGTAGGTTGTCAGTAACTTGTGTATCTCAATAGCACAAGTGGATGACAGTTTCATTAGTTCTACTGATGTCAGGACCATTGCAGTGAAGTCACACCAATCATTGTGTGGGAGAAGAACACAGAATGAAAGGGAGTGTATTGTATTCTACTTTTATGGTAGACTATTATTACAGACATTATTGAAATTGAAAAAAGACTTAACCTACTACGTTACCTGGCACATTTATTTATGCCTCCTCCTGCCCCTGGGTTCCATTTTTCTACTACTAAATATACATGTAAATTTGCAGGTAGTTTTAGTCATAGAAGAAATACAATTTTGTATTTGGCTTTTTCTATACTACCATAGAATTTTCATGTTAATAATTTTTAATTATACAATAGGAATACCTCTGGATTTTATATATATATGCTACCATTGTGTTTATCAGGAGCTCTTGTGGATTACTACCTAAGGCATTTGACTGCCAGCCAGAAGATTGGAGGTTCAAATGACCAGCCACTCTGCAGAAGGAAGATTGGGCAATCTAGTTCTGTAAAGATTGACCACCTCGGAAACCCAAAGGGGGTTGCTACGAGTCAGAATTGACTCGATGGCAGTGAGTTTGGTTTTTGGTTTTTATCCTTATCCTTATCCTATAAGAAACTCTGGTGGCATAGTGCCTAAGGCATTGTCTGCTAACCAGAAGGCTGGCAGTTCAAACCCACCAGCCATTCCTTGGAAGAAAGGTTGGGTGATCTACTTCTGTAGTGATACCATCTTGGAAACCCAAGGAGGGGTTGCTATGAGTTGAATCCGACTCAACAGCAGTGAGTTTTGTTAGTATTATGTTTATACTTTGGGAATGTTAAAGTCCTTAAAATGATACCTTTTTTGTGCCTGATACTTCTTTACCATTTTCTATAGTATAGTTTTTCCAGCATTAATTGTACATAATATTCATAGGGTCCAGCTGGATCTTTTCCCTATGAAGAAGAAAAATGTTCTTTAAGCTATAGTAATACGGTTTTTCTTTTTTTGGGGGGAGGGATTTGGGTGAAAGTTTACAGAGCAAATTCACTTTCCATACAGCAGTTCACACACACGTTGTCTCATGAAGTTGGCTGCAATTTACCCCAATGCAACAGCTCCCTCCCACTTCCTCCCAATAGTTACCTCTTCCCTCTGTCCATCCCTTCATGCACTCCTGCCCCCGAGCTATCTCCCTGTGCATACATAGCCCATCTTTCTCCCATGATTGTTCTCTCCAAAGAGTGTATCTACCTCAGGTGAATGTTCAACTCATATGCCTGTTTTTTGTTTGGCTGGAAGCCATAGGTGTGGATTCAATTCCAGACCTGAAGGGCAGCTAGGAGCCATAGTCTCAGTGGTTCCACCAGCCTTTATCAGACCAGCAAACCTGGTCTTTTTTTTCCCAAATGATTTTGAGTTTTGTTCCACATTGTTCTTGCTCTCTATCCAGAATCTCCTACATAGATCCCACTCCGAGTGGTTGATATTGGTAGCTGGGCACCATGTAGTTTTTCTGGTCTCATAGTCGTATAAGCTGAGGATCACATGGTGTACCAGTTGCGAGGACTAATTGTTTCCATGAATCTTTGGTTTTCTTCATTCTTCTTTGCTCTGGATGAGGAGAGACCCATCTTTGCATCTAGATGGCTGGTTGCAAGCTTTTAAGATTCCAATCGCTACTCGCCAAAGTAGGAGGTGGAACAATGTTTTGTGTACTGTGTTATGCCAATTGAGCTTGATGTCCCCTGCAACTATGGTCCTGAGCCCACAGGTTCAAATACTTGCTCCCTCTGGGTCACCAAGAAGTGACTTAAGCTGTAGTAATATGTTTTAATTAAAAGTCTTTATTCTGCTTTTGCTATATAAAATTAAGTCACAGAAACTTTCAGGATGCAGTTTGACTTGTACTTATTTTGGAAATTTTGTTTTTGACACTTTGTCAGTGTTTTGTTTTTTAAAATATTTTTATAGGTTACTAAAGTAATGCATTTACTATTTATAAAATGGACAGGAAAACTCGTAATTCCATCACCACAGACTGTTGACATTTTTGTATTTAATCCAATATTTTTTTCTATTTCTTTTACTTATTTGAGATTACTTAGTCTCTGGTGGTGTAGTGCCTAGGGCATTTGACTGCTAACCAGAAGGCTGGCAGTTCAGACTCACCAGCACTCCTCAGAAGGAAGACTGGACAATCTACTTCTTTAGAGATACCACTTCAGAAACCCAAGGAGGAGTTACTATGAGTTGAAATTGACTCAACAGCAGTGAGTTTGTTTGTTTGTTTTTAATAGTTCTAAACCATACTATTTTCATTTAACATAGGAAATGCTTTAGCTATAATGTTAGTACTAAAATTGGAAAGGTCACTTAATCTAATGGTTTAAAAACAACCAGTGGTTTTGTAGCTATGCTGCCTGGCTTGAAATCCCAACCCTGTCTTTCATACTAGTTGTATAACTTAAGTTACATTACCTCTTTGTGTCAGCTTCCTTATCTGTAAAATCGAATGTCATTAATACATACTACATGGGACTTGTATGAGATTTTTAGGAGAATTAATATTTGTAAAGTACTTAGAATAGTGCTTGGCACATGCTATGTACTGTATGTGTCTTTGTTATTATCATTGTAATAATTATATGACAGTCCATTATATGGCTATGTTATATCTAAACCTGTTGCCATCCAGTTGATTCCCATTCATAACGACCCTTTAGGACAGAGTAGAACTGCCCTATAGGGTTTCTAAAACTGTAATGTTTACAGAAGTAGACTGCCACATCTTTCTCCTGTGGAGTGACTGGATTCAAACTACCAACCTTTCATTTATCATCTTAACATTTAAGCACTGCACCACCAAAGCTCCTTGTACCATATCTATTCCTTTATTAATAGATATTTAATATTTAATATTTGTCAGTTTTAGAGTATTATTAACTTACAACCAGCTGACAATTGACACCTGAGTTTTTCAGTGCTGACAATTATTTATATTGTGTGGGTATTTTAAGGATTGTTCAACAAAGTATATATTAAGTATAAAGACTAATACTTTCTAAGAATTCAGTTCAAAGCTAGATAAATGAGTGGAAAGAAAGGCATTATTTATTAGCAGAGTATTTACAGAACTTCTGGGAAAGCACACGGAATTAAAAATTTTTGTGTAGAAATCAAGCATTGTGGAAGTAGCTGTTATGTTAAAATATTTCTCCTATTGGTTCATAGTCTTCATTTTAGTTTAAGTTAAACTCACTGCCATTGAGTCTGACCCTTTAGAGCAGAGTACAACTGCCCCATGTGGTTTCTAAGGCTGTAAATCTTTAGAGAAGCAGACTGTCTCATCTTTCTCTAGCAGACAGGCTAGTGGATTTGAACCACCAACCTTTTGGTTAGCAGGCACATGCTTTAACCACTATGCCACCAGAGCTCCCTAGTTTAAGTTAAACTTATCTAAATTACCTTACTGTTACTTTAAGTATAAGAATAACTGTATTGTTCTCTCATTTATCTCTGAATTTCTCATTTTCCTCTTTCCCAACTGTTCCCATATGTTCTCTGATACCTTATTTTCATGCTAAAGAACCTTACTGTACTTTTTCAGAACAGCAACGATGTAGCAAAGTGGTTTAGGCTTAGATCCTGGCTTATTCATTTTTTAGCCATGTGGTTGTGTTATTTAATCTCAGCCACAATTTCCTGTTTGTGAAATGAAACAATAGTAGTGGAACAATGGTAGTGGAAACCCACTGCTATTGAGTTGATACCGACTCATAGCAGCACTATAGGACAGAGTAGAACTGCCCAGAGTTTACAACGCTATAAATCTTTATGGAAGCAGACTGCCTCATTTTCTTCCTTGGAGCAGCTGGTGGAGTCAAACCGCTGTCCTTTTGGTTAGCAGCCAAATGCTTTAACCACCATGCCACCAAAGCTCCTGGGAACTGTTGTTGTTAGGTGCTCTTGAGTTGGCTCCGACTCATAGCGGCCTGACGTACAACAGAATGAGACACTGCCCAGTCCAGTACCCATTGTTGCACACTATGTCAGTGCATCTCGTTGAGGGCCTTCCCCTTTTTCATTGACCCTCCACTTTACCAAACATGTTATCCTTCTCCAGGGAATGGTCCTTTCTGACAGCATGACCAAAGTAGGTAAGACAAAGTCTGGCCATTCTCACTTCCAAGGAGCACTCTGGCTGGACTTCTTCCAGGACAGATTTGTTAGTTCTGTCAGTCTGTGGTACTTTCGGTATTCTTTGCCAACACCACAACTCAAACACATCAATTCTTCCTTGGTCTTCCTTTATAAAGTTGTGAGAATTAAATGAGAAAATTTAGGGCCCAGTACATGGTAAACATTCAATGAACGGGAAGTTCTGTAATTGTTATCACTTATATAATTGTCACGACTACTACCCACATTTGGTTACTCTCTACTTTCTGTTCTGCTTGCACAGAAACCTCATCACTAGGACCTAATTTTTCTTGGGTCTCTCCTTTTCTAGTATCCAGTACCTGTTTTGTAACACTAAGAAGTCAGCATTGACCAGGTTTCCCATTGCCACTTTCAAAATTTGACCAATTTATAAATAATCCTATTTACTTTGGGGCTCACAAAATTCTATTTTATCACCCTTAACCCTTCCCTGTCTTAATCATCTACTGACTTCTTAGTCACTTTCCTGGGTTCAGAAACCACAGCTTTATAAGGGCTAGATCTTGAATATGGTTGGCATATAGCAAGGGCTCTATGCTTATTTTTTTACTTAATAAATGAAGGACTTTGGCCCCTGGCTCAAAGCTTTCTTACTACTTCAAGTTTCATTTTTAGAGGACACTTATGGATATTCCTGTGCTTTTACTGCTCTAACAAATTACAGTTGACCCTCATTATTTGTGGATTCTAGATTCCATAATTCATCTGTTTGCTAAAATACTCCATCGGTGTTTGTTTGCACAGTCATTGGTACACATGCATGCAAGAGCTGCAGAAAATTCCCGGCTGATTTGAAGAAAACCCCAAACACAATCCCAGTGCCATTAAGTCTATTCCAACTCATAACAACCCTACGGGACAGAGTGTAACTGTAGGGTTTCCAAGACTTTAAATATTTAGGGAAGCAAACTGCCATTTCTTTCTCCCTTAGAGCTGGTGGATTTGAACCACTGACCATTCATTTGCTTAGCAGCCTTCCACTTTAACCAGTGTGCCATCAGGACAGTGAGGTTGAAGAGGGCCTTACTAATTCAGTGTTTGTGGGGACTGTGTAGCATATTATTACTGTGAATAATAAGAATTGTACAATAAACTTGGTGGCTTAAAAGAACACAGATTTATTATCTTAACAGTTCTAGAAATAAGAAGTCCAAAGTGGGTTTCACTGGGGCAAAATCAGGGTGTCGGCAAGACTGTGTTCTTTGTGGAGGCACTAGGGAAGAATCCATTTTCTTGCCTTTTCCAGCTTCTAGAAACTACCCATTTCCTTGACTCGTAGATCCCTTCCATCTTCAAAGCCAGCAAGGACTGCTTGAGTCCTCCTCACACTGTACCACTGTCATTGACTCTCCCGCCCACATCTGTCACTTCCAAAGGCCCTAGTGATTATATTGGGGCACCTCTGAATAATCTAGTATAATGTCTTTATTGTTAAGGTCAAGTTATTAGCAGCCTTAATTTCACTTGCAACCTTAATTCCCTCTCACCAAGTAATATATTAACAGGTTCCAAGGATTATGATGGGGACATTTTTGATAGGCATTATTCCACCTACTTCAATCCATATTTCATGTCTTTCTACATAAATCCTTCATCTTAATTCCAGTTGATTTATCTCTGTTCCACTTTAGTTACTTAGAGCCATGGCCAAACTCATTGCTTAAACTGCTCCAACTATGAAATCTTAAACTACAGAATTTTATGTTCTGACCGCAATTTCCAATCCTATTTCTTGGGCAGGTTTGTAGAAGCCAGATTATAAAGGCCTTATTTACTAGGTTTAGTAGACCAACTTGAACCTGAACAAAGTTGGAAGTCAGTGGAGGATTTCATCAGGAGAAAAAAAATATGTCCAAAAGTCAAGGAAACATTTTTACATTTTAATGTAAAAATAGAATTAATCATATGTCTCAGGTACTAATCTTCTTTTTTTTTTTTTTTCTTTTAATCTGATTTTAATCAGCAAAAGGAAGAGGGAAAGCATGAATCCTTAGCAGGTAATGAAGACATGGCCAGAGTACCTACTGACAAAAAACAGGTGAATTTTTATGATTTAAGAGAAAGAAAGCTGTGTTCATAGTAACAAAACAAAAGGAATGGTATAAACTATAAAAGTTCCCTATTCTGAGACGCCAAGGTAAACTGACATGATATAGTCCATGAAGACAGTGTTCTACCCCTACTGTGATGAGTAGTGACTAACTCTTGAAAGTTTGTAGTAGCCATCTAAGGTGCAACTATTGGTCTTTCCCTATCTGGAACAAAGAAAAATGAAGAAAATTAAACATGCAAGGCAACAGCCTCTGTGACCCTGAGACAAGAAAACATAGATGGTGCCTGGCTACTCTGAAAGGGATCACAATAGGAGGTCCTGGATAGAATAAGAGAAAAATGAGAAACAAAACTCAAAATCAGAAAAATGACTAGACTTACTGGTCTGAAGAAAACTGGGAATTCCTGAGACCATGGTCCTTAGACACCTTTCAAGGTGGGAAATGAACTCACCCTGTGGCTCCACTTTAAGCCAAACACTAGGTCTGTAAGCTGAACAGTAATAATAGAGAAGTACACACTCCTTAGAACAGTCAACTGTAAAAGATCAAAACGGTATACCATTTGCCCAGGAATAAAGCTCAGATGGCAGGAAGGGCTGGAAAAGAAGGATGAATGGGAACAGGAAACACAGGAAATAGGAAGAGTGCTATTACATTGTGGAGATTATAATCAATGTCACAAGACAAAATGTGTATAAATTGTTGAATGGAAAACCAGTTTGCTCTAAACTTTCACCTAAATCA